CTGAGCTGCGCAGCTGGAGAGAACACACAAAAAACACATTGGCTGGCTCAACAACTCACCACCGTCTTCTTTTCAATTCTCTGTTCAGCACCAAGCGGATGCAAGAAATCCAAATGTACTGGGCCAAAAGTGGTGAAGGTTCTTGCAGATTCTTGTAGGACAAATACCTCCCTCGAGATTGGAAAGAACTTCTTGGCCAGAAGCCCTTGCACCCCATAGCCATAGCCCATAGCCGCCTACCACTTACAATTCACTAACTTGCACCCCTGAAAACTAACATGGACCCTGAGAATGGGACCCTCTACAAACCAGTGTTTTTCAGGGCGAATGTTAGTTTTCCACGAAGAACCACTCATGGATTGACATTTGCATGATATTTGCCTATGCGGTCTTCCAACTCAAACACTTTGGATGCGACAACATGGCCCTTGCAAATGGTGAAACACAGTGAATCATTGCCCCCCTAAAAATCATAGTACTGTATTGTACTGCTTGAGACTCCAAGAATTCCCTTTTCTCTCCCTTTTGAGCTCAATCTTTAAGCCTCCGTATTAGAAGGAGTAGGGCTGCCCAGGCCCGTTGTTTTGGAACGTTGTTACGTATGTCCTACGTCCTACGTCGTTCCATTCTGAAAAAAATTCGACGCGTTCATCGAATGAATTCACGCTACTGTACACCCTGCGTCTCAGGCACTATCTCCGCGCTTGGGATAGTCACGGCGCATCTTCTGGTGCCAGGACAGGCTGTCCTCGTTCTCGCACAGGAAGTCGTCCATCACCTATGTTGACAACCGCACCAAAGGTAAGGACTGCGTGTGGTGCAGGTTGGGTCTCACCGGCTGAGCGCTTTGCAAGCAATTCTTGCGTTGGCATGATGACATCCATCTCCTTTGGCATGATTGCCATGGGTCATTGGATCATTCACTAGTGGATTCTTTGCTGGATCCTTCTTCCACCTCTCACTTTGGCCACCTGCACTCCGCCACCCTGCCTGGTTCGCCATGTCCCCAAAGAGCACCGCCATACGCCGCAGCAGGGACCAGGAGCTCTTCGCTGTGACACGGGCTTCGCCCGGAGCCAAGAGCTCCACGGACTGCAGTTCTAAACCTGAGCGGGTCTGGATCTTGGACTCAAATGCCCTATAGGGATCCAGTCGTACCTTCTCAGACATGGGACAAGATGTCTTGGACTCAAATGGGAATATAGATATGAATAGATAGATGTCTGAACGATGGTCTTAGTGGGTCTTGGAATTAGGGAGTGGGGTCTTTGACTCAGATGCAAAGGTGAACGGTGAACTCGATACCGACTGCCACTCCGACACAGAGTCTCGTCTTGCAGGGAGGTGGAGGAAGTGGGATCACGGCACTTTCTCACTATCAAGGTGTCTTGCTCATTGGAATAGGAAGGGTTTTCAAGAGGAGCCTATATGACATGCATGACCTCCATAGGAAGGCCATGAGTTTAAAACCCGAGCCTATAGGACGCGAGCCGGGTGTCTAAATGGAATGGCTTCGGTCGTTGCCGAATTGGCCGCTCCCTGGCAGGGTCCATTTGTGTGGGCGACTCTCCGTCTGTTGAAGAACCGACGAAGATTTGGAGGACTTCTAACTTCTAACAATTTCCAATGCCCACGCGAACTATGGAAATACATGGAAATGCCCACAATTGGTTAGCATAGATCCTTCCGTTCCCCAACATGCCATTGGTGCATTCATTGATGTCTTTATCATATGTACCCTTCATAACAAGTTTAGCGTATCTACTACGCGGCTGCCACGGACTCCGCCGTGCAACAGGAAAATAGGCTATCCATTATCCACTACTCCGGGCGGGATTTCTTCAGACCGGCCTAAAGGTCTACCTCGCTCTTCAACAAATAGTTAAGCCCTCCAAACCCATACCACACACTTTCACACGGGTATCTTGTTGGGGATTCCCGGGGCAACTATAGCCAGTCAGTTTTCGCATGTCATCCGACTGAAGCAGGATCAAAGGCTCTGGAATTCCGGCTTCGTAAATGTTCCACGGCAGGTCTCAAGGGCCCAACTTATCCTTCTGGAACAGCAGTTGGTCTTCCTTCCCTGTCCGGGTTCTGTCCAGGGCGTCCACGCCTGTGCTCTGTTTCATTCCTCTGCATGGTCCTAATGATTTTTGGGACAGTGCCGATCAAGGATGCTACATGCTGATCATGCCCAGCACCCTCTGGAAAGCCGACCCATGAGAAACCCCCCCAACCCCCGCACCCCTCCAAACAGGACCTCCGCCACCGCTATTCCACCGGACGTACGGCAGACCACGTCGGGAGGCCCTCCACAGGGCTCAAGTCTTGAAGCAAAGAGCGCACCTCTGGCCTGGCAGGCTGCGAGGCCTCTAGCCTTTGATCGAAGCTGACTGGAGTCCCTGGAGTCTGCCCGCCACTAGGCTGATTCAGGAGGAACAGGACTTAGGGATCGGAGCAAGGAAGGGTGCCTTTTTCTCCACTCAGAAGGTCAGTAAGGTGTATCTTGGCCACTCCGTGATGGAGTTCCAGCTTGTTCCAGCCCTCCAGCTTTGAAGATGCCTGCCTTTGATAAGGAATTTTTGCCTTTTCCAGCCAGTCCAAGCAATCCATTTCTTGCCGAAAGAGCTTTTACCTATTTCGACTCCTGTCGACTCTGCAGGCTTGGACGCTGCCTGACTCCGTTCCTGGGCAGCGTCCAAACGCGTGAGTCGGCAACTCCTTCGGTCTGGAAGTGTGGGAAACAATACCAAATTGAGCAAAACCATATAATATTCGTGTTGCTAGGGTATAAACCTATTCGTTGGTTATATAATACTGTGGTGGTTTTTGGATTACTGTTTTGATACTACAATAATCACCACCACATCAAGACCAAACCGAATCCAAATGAACAGTACTGTTACAGTATACCCGATCAGAATGATGTAAACGAATCCTAGACTTAAAAATTCCTCATTCCTCAATTCCACTGCACCGCCGTACCTCACCAACACCTGGCTGGTCTTCGCAGGTGCGTCCTGGACGGACAAGGGAGGGCGTTGTTTGCTGAGAAGCCAGTCATTTCACACGACCCTCCGAAGGGCGTATTCCTCTACCAGCCAGTTTTCAGGGTCCATGTGGTGCGCAGCGGGAGGTCCAGGTGTGTGAATGTTCGCTTGGTGAAGAAAAGATGTTCCTTGCAACAAACATGGACTCGGACACATCAGAGTGACCGTCTCCAAAAGTGGCCTGACAAGGTATCTCAAAAGGTCAACTTTGAAGGACAAGGTCTGGGGATACCTCGTTCAACACTTGCCCCAAAGGATGTTGTTGCTTGGTCTCCCTCTCTCGAAAACATTTCTCATGTTCTTGGTCGCATTATGTCGTATTTTGTATCTCCAAACAAACTGACATAGCACACAGTTTCTTCGTGCCCCAAGAAATTCCGGAGAGTAACGCACCGAGTCCCCCACACATGTTTGCACTGTTCATGAACAGAATCCCACATCTCCATAGAAATTTGTACGGATCCCGGCTAGCCCATCTGCAGGACAATGGTTTTCTAGATTTCTTGCCATATCAGCGCATGATCTTGTCCACGAAACATGGGGTGTAGGCTTCCTGTGATGATGGGGCCTTAAGACTAGCCGACTAGCCTTAATTAAGCTATGAGCACGCTCAGTCACGTTTAGAGATTTGGCCATCTCAGCTGATTTCTGGCTGTCAATGAAACATGACACCAAAAACACCATCTACGACCCAGTCACGTCCCTGGACGAGACGTGCCGAACATCCCTTGGATGGCACCCATCGCCCACCCATCGGCCATCCTGGATGGTGATGTTCTTCAGCTCGAGCTTGATCACGTGACCTCCCCAGGCACATCTGCTGTGCATCAAGGCACCTTCGGGGGTGTCCACCGCACAGATCCAGCCACTCTCCTGGCGAAAGAGGAGAGGACAGGACGGCCTCCGTGTTCAGTATACGACGGACGCATCGCGGAGCTGCCCGGCGGAAGTGGTAGGGCGGAGCGAAAATCAAAAAGAGAGAGAGAGAGAGCAAAGTGGGTGGCGAGATGTGGATGTTGTTGGCCGTTGTTGGCTGATTTCAGGATTTGGTGGGGTGACAGCGTGGGGCTTTGAGAAGACCGTCAAAAAGGTTTTTTCTCGGGTGGAGGTTCTGGTCTCTTCTACCTTCTCCAAGAACGACATGGAACTCCAGTTCTGATGGATTCCAAGGTTGTCATTGGGCATTTATATGTGCGACCGGTCTTGCTTTGAGCCGTGCCTGACGTGTCATCCTGTCGGAACCTATGATGACGCTGGGTGATTGGTGCCGTGCCTCACGCGGAACCTGCGTTCATGCATTCGGTGCTTTTCGAACGGTGTTCGAGCGCTTGGAGCTTCGAAGAAGTGTCAAAGGCACATTTCTCAACATCGCCTTCAAAAGCTGGTGATCGATACAAATCATGCATGTATAAACTATATACCTTGCAAAGAACTACTTAATTAAGTTCAACCTTCTTGCCTAATGAATTATGTCCCGGGACTGCAACTTTAAGATCTTTAAGCATTTCAGTCAGGGTTCTGACTCGGCCTAATTTGTTCTGTTCTGGGTTCGCTCTTGCTTCCCTGGGTGGCGCAAAAAACATAAAAAAACCTCCAGAACTCTCTTCTTCGAATGACCCGTGTCCTCCAGTAGATTCGGCATCAACTTGCACCAGTCTTCCACCGATTCGGGGCGTGGTGCCATGGCCCTCCACACTTCTGGCGTACCCACTGGAGGAGGCCCTAAACGGCCAAAGCTGCAGCCGAACACGCACCGAACACGCGCTGAACACTGCCGAATCCAGAGCTTTGGGACTGAGGTCTTTCCAGCAAGGGGAAGGAGTGGTTCCATTTGTGCAGCGTATGAATTGTTGTGTCTTGTTGATTTTTATCAAGTCTTGCCAGCTGTTTTGGAGGTCTGCAAAAACACCCATGCATGCAACAACGTTTTTCCGCAAATAAAGGTGAGAGACCGGATCATCCCTCTTGCGGTGCAAGAAGAAGCTCTCAACCTGGAGAATGCCCATAACCATCGACAGGTGGGAGGGGATTGTGGTGCCGGTGTTGTGGGATGAGAAGAACTCGTAGTCTTCATGGAGGATGTTGATTAAGGTAACATATGAAGAGGATTTACAAACGAATGGGGAGTCTGTTTCATCATTCGACATGAAAGAGGATTTGGATGGTTGAAGGACAAAATTTTTCGTCAAAAGGCTTGGATGTCGCATGTGGTGTGGGAGCGTGTCGGCATGTCGCAGGATAAATTCGAGTTTGTTCCTGATCCGCTGGGCCTGTGGAAAGCGACCTGGCTACACGGCGAAGATTTTAAAGCAGGTTAAACAATGTAAGCATCCACTTCTACGAATTGCTGTCCAACACCACCTCCGTCTCCAAAAGAAACCCCTCTCCGTTGCATCGATCCTAAACATTCGAATGATTTCCCATTGGGGAGCCCTGTAAGCAGCGCCATGTTTGTTTACATGGACCCCTTTGAACCACTCCAACTGTTCGGGATCGCCACTCCAGTCGCGTCCGCCTCGCGTGGTGCCGCGCAGGAGGACACGAAGCGGCTCCGAGCGACCAAGCCTCGATATGCGGCACCGAGGATGGAACGCCCGCAGCGGTGGAATCATCATCCGACGTGCCGGTGGATTGGCGGGAGCGCAAGAAAACACAGGAGGCAAAAAAATACGTGTGACATATACACTGCGCACTTTCGCCTGAAAGTGCTCAGCTCTTTTTGAGGTGTTGTTCTCACGGTCAGGGCGATTTACGCCAGTGCGCAAGTCATGCCCCGTTATGAGCCATGGGTGCCAGTCCATCGCACGCCCCTGGGCGTGAACTTAGAGTGCGCGCAAAATATTCGCGCAGTTCTGGCTCAATCATCCAGAGGGCTTGCCAGGTAAAGAGTGCCAATGATTTTCACAAAGCACTTGCGGACGCGTGGACGCAACACTTGGAAGCCATCATTGCTTTAAGGGCTGGGGAACCACATGGAGCCAAAGTAGAATCCATTCAACTTGGCCACGCTTGCAACCGCCATTCCCATCCATTCCCTGCCATTCTTTTGGTGCCACTTTGTTCATGCTCATGGTCTGGCACCTGTCAACGTTACCATCAGGATGCCGTTCATCCACGCACCACGTACTTCGGCCGGGCCACCCAGAAGAACACCTTTCACAGGATCGGCTTGGCCGCTGTCTGTTTAAGAAAATGCCGCGGCGGACTCCACTGGTCTTTATGAAATGTCCACGTATGTGCTTGGAGCTCCCAGCTCTGCACTGGAGACGGCAACTGTCATCAAGTTGAGGCTACATGTAGCATTTAATCAATGGTGATTGAAGTAGAGAGTTTTCAGGGCTCATCGTGTAAAGAGTGCAGTGTGCTTTCCACAAGGACCTTGCGGGATCAAACTAGACTTGACCTACTGTGATTGATTGCAAGGGCACAAGTCCTGAAGGGCAGAGTTTTAGACATGATTTCTGTGTGCACAAATCAGTGGTTGGTCAAAACAACGAGACCTCTTCTTTCAGTAAAACAGTTGGGATCAACCACCTCGTTAACATATGCGGCTCAAAGACCTCTATGGGAACGACCAGAACAGGCCTTTCAACTTTCAAGTCTTCCCCTGTGAAGTTCATTCGTGGCTTGAAGCGGTCGTTGGCGCAACAGAAATGCCTTGCTGAAGGTCCTCATGAATTCGCATTTTGGTGGTCCCATTTGGTGGTCCCCATTTCTTCAGGACCAAACTCGTGCCGAACATCGACCCGCGCGGCGTTTTTGGGGACACCCACGTGCCCGTGCGGTGGTTGGAGGCCGCCAGACCGCCACCCCCAAATCCAAAACACTCCTCCGGTCCTCCTACTGTATCCAACCCCAGACTCTGAGGCTGTCATCGTGTCTGGCCAGGTAGGCCAGGTAGGCCGGTGCCACGGCTGTTCATGATCTCCAGTGGGGGAGCAGGTTCAAGCCTTGTCCACTCTCCAACCTCATGTAGATTCTTGATGAACAATCCCCCCCGATTCTTGGACAATTCTTAGGGGGCCATGGTATGAAAAGGGATTTCCAATTCAATTGGGGTGGTCTATTCATTCAAGAGTCTACATTACCCTCCGGCCCGGAATATGATCAACCCTGCACCACTGCAGTAAGCTTAGACAACAAAACAAACATAATTGCTTCGGTTTGGAGCAGAATGCTGCCTGATCCGAGATGACAACCAAAAAACACATGTGGTTGGCCCCTGCCTATATCAACTTCAACCTATATAGCCATCAAAAGCCTTCTCGCCGGTGTCTTTCAAAGCGGGGGTCAGAGTATTACTGGTAGGCCAACATGACGATGACGATCACAACCTCAGGATCCGCACCCCAATTTAATGATGCCAATCCTCTTAACAATGCTGCGGTGATGACAATAATCTATCGGTAACGAACCATCTCCCGCCCCCCAGCAATCGCCATAATTTAATTGCACGACACTTAATGACAATCTGTTGAAACAGAAATGTGCAACACACGAAGACGTTGTGAGATTGGTGAGAAGAAATGAGTGAGCTAGAGAAAGGCCAGGAGCCCCTAGTAGCTCCTTGCTCCTAGTAGTAAGGTCAATGTTGCAGGGATGCAAGAATGCTATGATCAAAACTAATCCCCCAGCAGCACGAATGCTACAATCTCGTTCAAAGCCAAGTGTTGATTCCACATGGGTGAAGAGGGTTGTCCAAGATAGATTTACATGACCGGATGAGGGGTTTGTCTGCCTCATAAAGGCATCCTAGGCCCCTAGGTGGTTGCAGTGTCCAACCCTGAAGCTAAGACAGGTTCTACCGACGGCTCACGTGGGCGTCACCTCTACGAATTCATATCCGGCGACGGTCGAGGACGATGTCACGACGATGATCATCATGGTTATAGTTCTCAAGCTGAGTCAAGAAAGGCGTGAGAAGGATTTGATGGATGATCATCCACTGATGAGAATTACGGTAATCTTATAGTGACTTCATACTTCATCCTTAGTCAAACGAACTAAGGAAAATCAATCAAGGCCTGAAGTTGCAGCAAATCTCACGATGTGACTCAGTGAAGGCCGTTTTCAATACTCCAAGAGAAACATAAAAATATAAACTATCAAACAAAATCAGAACAAGAAGAGCTGCTAACTTCCGGAAACAGAACAGCTAACATCTTAAATTCCTGGCTCCCCACATGTCTGATAACTGTTCAAATCCAGGTTTGGGGACAAAACATGACACAACACCGACAAATCCTGCAATTGAAACATATCTTCTTCCAAAACCTCAAATACCTTTGAAACATGTTGGAAAATGGGTCCAGGCTCCGAACTGACTACTTGGGCCTGCCCGACCTGCTCGACCTATCCCAGCCAAATCGCCCAAATGGACGGGCCTGCGTGCTTGAGCTGGCGCCAAATCTCGCCATACACTGCCTGGATCTGGACGGCTCTTGGTATATGGGACTTCGAATGTTCGCGGAAGGGCTGATCCATTTTTCCCAGCCTGACCTCCTCAGTTTCCCTGGGATTAGCCTGTTTCCGAGCTCCCCCGCGATCCGAGACTTCACGTGTAAACGTGCCGTTGAAGCCGCGATCGGCTCGAAGTGCCGGGGGCAGGAGATCAACTCACCCACAAAGGGCACTGAACTTCTTCGAGAGGACCACGCACGGTCGCGCACGCGTTTGCTTTGCTCGGGGAGAAGACCCCGGAGCGAGGTAAGGCGGTTCAGGCGGTTCGGCGGAAGCCGCCAGTCTCATGAGACGGTGTTGTGTCGATGTGCCCAATGAACTTTGGAAATTGAATCAGTGATAGACCCCTCCCACTGAATGCCAAATCATCAACACACTACCCGAGTGTCCTGCTTGAGAGTCCAATAGTTGCTGAACAAAACCCTTGCATTGCCTGATCACCAGAATAGGTCAATGCACCTATTCCAAACACTCCAAGTATGGGATAGTCATATTGACCCCATTTATACCCTAGGGCCCTAGGGCTCCTGGCCCACCTCCTGAGAAGATGGGCCAGTCACCTGAGGAGATGGGGCAGGAGCCCTAGGGATAACCCATGCCATGTTGGCCACCTTGAGTAGCATCCTATCTGGGCAGTGGCGCCATCACCCCTTGTGGCCCCCGCATCAACATAGGTATAACGATTCCAGTCCGGATGGAAGGAATGGGCCTGTCTCGTGCCGTGCGCAGCGTTCTGTCCGCACCTGCGGCTTTCCCAAACACATGGCATTCACATGCAGGAAGATGAACTTCCTGGCACGGGTCACGTCGTTGAGCGACCGGATGAAGACCATGAGAAAGCCGATTCGTGGCATCGGGATTGGCATATGGTGTGCAAGGAAAGCACAAGTTCCTGGCATATTCTAATGTAACCCATTTACAAACCATATGTAGGCGAATCTGCTTTGCTTGACGCCCATAGATACAGGCAGGTCGTTTCGCAACCGCACACATACACAAACACACAGAGTTTACGGGTGATGTGCTTCGAGGAAAAATGAACACTTCTCCTGCAACGCTTTGGTGGGGGTGTCTAAGTGCCTTGGAACGGTAGGGCGATGGCTGCCTCATACTAACCCTTCCCGCCCAGGAAAACAGGTCCGGACGGAGCTGCTACACCCATGTTCACTTGGACTCGTTGACCCCATGTTTGGGTGCTTGTTTTCAACATGAACGAAGTGCCTGGACCGCCTTTGACATATAATATGACAGAAAAGTCAACCACCCAAACGCTTGATGCATGTGATTGCATGGCGTACATTCATCTCTATTGCCGATTGTATTATAAACTATAAAGCTACATCTGGGGGAGCCCTGGTCCACCATGTAGCCTGACCTTCCAGGTAGCCAAGGTATCCTCGTCTTGACCCACAGCCATATCCCGGAACCCTATATTGGTCAATCTGCCAGCCCCATGGAGCGTGTGACTTGGGATGTATCCAATTCTCTTCCGAGGAGGTCGCATGGCACCCCAAGATGTCGTATAGATGGGCCATGCCGGCCATCTAGTCTCCATCCACCACTATAATGATTTCCTTTTATGCATGGGTGTTCTGGACCATGATTTGACGCCAAGTCACCCTGCACATGTCATGTGCGCCACTGGCTTGGAGGTCTTGACCCATATGGCCGGCTGTCAAAACTCCTTCCCCAAAGTCTTCTCCCATTTGCTCCTACCAACACCATCCATGCTGGCCAGCTCATGCTGCGCCGTCCCAGCTCACATTCCTTTTCAGAGAAGTGAACGGAAAATCACCAACTCCTGAACCACTTCTTGACCCCAACTGGCCCAACTCCTCATCCCTCCACCTTCACACATGGTCCCCTCCTTTCCCACCTCCGCAGGTCGTGCTGTTGAGCCAGCGCGCGGATGCTGTGCAGGACGGAGGCCGTCTTCCCGGTGCCTGGCATCCCAGAGACGTAGAGCACCTCGGGGACATGGCGTCCGTCTTGACACGACGGCGAAGGTTGGTTGACATCTGGGTCATGTGAATGGTGTGGAAAACAAGAATGAGATGGGAAGGTTGTGAGGTGGAAGATGAAACGTATCACATGATACATGTACATGCGCGTGATGCCGTCAACGGCAACATGTTCACCAAGTGTTGGAGTCGTGTTTGAGGGTTTTGCCTTGCCTTTACTGGCTGTGGGAATGGACACCGTCGCTTTTTTGGTTGGGCAACCAGCATTCCACGACTTTGATTATCCAGCGAACCAAAGTGGGTTGGCCTAAATACATGTACACAGTCTATAGCTCTTCAGAGGCACACTCAAGAGGCACACTGGAGGGGCTCTTAGGCTCATTCTCAGTCTGTTCTTGCTGTTCGGGAAGTCGTGCAGCATGTGCCAATGTCCAAAAAACAATACCTGTATATAGATCTATTGTGAATAACCATCAACAGGTGCACAGCCTGCCAAGAAGTTTCCTTGGCTTCACGCTCCCCATTGCCAGCAACAAAAAGATTAAGGGCCTCCACGTGCTTGGCGACTGTTTGAATCATTTGACAACTAAAAGCCCCCCCCCAAAATATGATAAACATGCATACCTAGAACCTCGTTAGGCAATAATTTTCGCCCAACGCCATTTAGGCAGAAAATTCAGCCCGTTTTTGCAAAGAACGCCTAAGCTGCAGCCTCGAGGGTCAAAAACGCCACGCCGAGGCACAATCACATGCATTCTTACATGCAAAAAACAACAACACAGAATTTGAATGACAAAAATTGAGAAAACAAACGCCTGCCACTTGACGCTAATCCCCAGTCTAAAGTTGTTGAAATTCATGTCGCTCACTCCCCCCAAAAGGCTACCATTCCGTTGTCCACCCAACTACTGATTGTAGTGAGGGGGGAACGGGCAAGAACGCCTAAGTGACGGGAAGAACACAAAAAGATATTAAAGCAATGAATCAAAGCATAGAACAACTAAAAACATACAAAAGAGATCACAAGAGAAACATTAAGTTAATTCCTGAACCTGTACCATCCTTTATCAACAAAGTCTATATAACTTCCTCACAACCCAACATTGGATGGATGTCCCCAAACCATGCACCGTTCCATTCCGTGGTTCCCCACGGAATGACAAACAGCCAGCCAAATGGTCAAGCACCAGTCTCATCTCGGAATCCAAATCCAGGTCTGGCACTTCAACGCTCCGGGATTTGGGAGCCGACTTGGGGGTCCGGCCATGACAGCCGAGGCGGGGCGACTGCGCGTCGCGAAGCGCGAACGACGCCCCCGGCCGCCGTGCCTTCTTGGAGCCCTTCGTGCGGATGGCCGAGCACAAGTGTGCAAACAACTGCACGTGGAGTTTTTCCGTGGCGTCTGTGGAGGAGTGGAGTGGCGTCAAGTTGGCACATGAGTCACTCTTAAGAGGACATAATGATGCTCCGAAATGAGATGCAGTCGACCTGCAATTGTAGGGTTCAGGGTTTCCACCGGTAGAGGTGCAAGAAAAGCCCGCGACTTAGGGCCTGACCCACAGCACAAAACAAGTCATGACAACCAATACGTATAGCCAAAAGTAGCTCATATATATATATATATATCATCATATGCAGTTCCAAATTCACAGGTTCCATATGGTTCCATGGTGTTCTATCTGTTGCATCCGTTTGGCGCAGCATCCGATTTTGAGATGACCTCCCATTCCGGCGGACGTCGTGTCTGAAGCTCATGGACACTTCTGCCTGGCTCTGCTGCTCCTGTCTGCAGGGCATAGGTCCCGACATGCTCGGGGTCATGGCGCTGGCCGCCCGAACGAAGAGCCCCGCTGCGGGTGCAGAAGATGGCGCAAGTGGCCTCAGGAAGATGGTGCAGAGTTGAGTGTTGACCGAAAACCAGAAAGCAACGGAGCTATAGCCAAGCGTTGAAGTGTTATCAAGGGCCCCTCTCAATCATATATGAATACTGAATTGGCTCAATATGGCTCACTCACTGTCATACAAACATAGAAAAAAAGTATCGGGATCCCAATTTCATATGCGCCACCAGCAGCAGCCCATCATGGGCGTTTCCGCCCATAGGGTCCAAAGACAAGCAGCTGGTCATGCTCTGCTAACTCCCTGTGCTCCACCTGCAAGAAGCTGGCTTTGGGAAGGTAGTGACAAGGTGGTTGGTGTGTGTGTGTGTGCGGTGCACATTTAGAGGGCTAATACACTTACACACGGCTCATGCTGTATACTAAAGGCTGCACCAACTGAAATCCGACCGAATCGAGCTCTTTCCGAGCATCTTCCCCAGACACCTCCATGTATGACATATCTACCGACATGGTCCATTGCAGGGGTTCAATGGGTTATCTATACATAGAAGTAGGCATCTACTAAGGCATCTATGCCAGTGATTCCTGCGTTTGGTGCTTCCAGACCTCCCAAAGTTCCGGCATCTTTCGCCGGCACCGCCGGAGCCGCCTCGGTAGCGGGGAAAAGGTGCGACAAAAAAAGAGACGGTGGGTCCTGAACAAAGGTGGGTTTTCCGTGGAAACAACGAACACCTCAAATGATTGCGAGTAATAATTGTCCAAGGATGAGGATCTCCATGGGTATCCTCTACACTCCCCGAAACGAACATGGAAGTGGACAACAACCCCCTGTTTCTAAAAATAGTATTCCACGAGGCCATTGTCCACTTCCATGCTTGTTTGGGGGAGGGTCATCAAGAATTTTGAGTGTGGAGAGCCCATCGTCATCTGGATGAGCAAAAACAACAAGTACAAGTAGAGGCGCCTCATGGGGCTGTAGTATGACAATTTGCAGGGTTGACTAGCCCGAACACCCTGAAGTGGCCCTGAACAACACTTGAACGCATTCATGGGCATTCCGCATGTCTACTAGACAAAACTGGGGATGAGTTGCATATATATATATATATGGAAAACAATGCCTCCATATGCCTTCCTTCTGACCCCTCCAAAATAAGTAGCTGCGCTCGACAGAGCACACGCTCAAATCCAAATGAGTTGCTAGATATTGCTAGCGGCCCCCACCGAAGCACAAACCATCAAACAGGGGCAAAATTCCTCGGACTTCAAGGCAGCATGGGCCAATGGGTCTCATTCAAAGAAGATCCATTCCAAAGGAGCTGATGGATTCAAGCAGCGGGTCGCTTCTGCCTGGATTCAGATAAGCATTGTGCCTGCTTTGACACCTGGTTCGGCTTGCTGAGCCAATGCTTGTGGACGTAGCTCCTGGATGATCCACAAGTAGGGACGACCAAATGGAAACTGCTAGGCCAGCAACCCATCCCTAGCTGCGCCAAGCCGAACATGTGAAGCTCCCATCGACATGTCATCCGAGAATTTTATGTTTATCTCCGTCACTCAAAGGACTCATTTGTGCAGCTGAACCTGCTGCCAATCTGAAACCCACAATTTCTTCAATGACCAGGTTAGGGCACGTGGGGGATGCGAGCGCCCAGGAAGCACATTTGTAAAGGCATCAGTACATGCCCATCGCAATGGTCATCTGGCAGGCCAAACCACACACCGAGGCACGTTTCGGTGGCTGGTGCCTCGCATGAGCAGGTGAGCAGGGCTAACTGCGTGTGTTCCACACAGATCTGTGCAATGTAGAATCCTAACCCCTTCTTTGGGGCAAGGTCTTGAAATTGGAGTGGCCCTTGTTCAGCTTGACGCGGAAAGAAATGGCAGCTATGTTGGCTGCTGGGAGCCTCTACCAAGGTGCTGCCAGCACCTGCGAAAACCTGAGCTCTTCCCCACAGGTCAGGGATCTCCAAACTAACTCCAGCAACAAAGAATCTCTACCACCTCACTCTGCTTGGAGTTCAACATAAATGGATCCTCTACGGGGAGTTGTTCAAGCTAGTTCAAGCTTTTGGGCTTCAACATGTGTACATGTTCTAGTGAAAGCTGCTTGTAGTTGACTCTCAAAAGTTATTTTCCAGCTGGCTGCATTTATGTACACCATCAAGCCCATGTCCCTGTTCAATGACGGTGTCCAATGAGTATACTTCATCATAGTCATGTAAATCTGATCAAGCCCATGTCCATTTTAACAATGATGACATATAACTGACTGGTGCGACTCGTAGGGAATAAGTGAATGAACCCCCAATAGAGATTCTATTGCATCCAGCCACCCTCATTCCCTGATTTCGCACCAGTCAGGTAATAGATCTGTTGACCATATATATATATATACCCTAGGGCTCCAACCATATCCTCAGGTTCGGTGGTTAGACCCCCCTGGCACCCACCCCAACCATCTTCTCAGGAGGTGGGCCAGGAGCCCTACAAAGAGGTGCGAGGTGGCGTGCATGTTCGGCCTAGTGCCCGGCCTGGCGCAACGGATCCGGCATCTTTCGCCGTATGCGCCGCTGCATGGCGAGTAGTGCTGGTATGGGCCTGAGGCAAGGCCAGCACATGAGTGTCAAATACAGTGTCAAACAAATGAGAGGACTCACTGTGCATACAACATATATATATATATATATCGATTTTACGTACCCCTATGTATGCCATATTGCCCGCAGTAGAGACACGTACTATCACGTGCTTAATTAGTTCCCCATCAGTGGTGGTTGCCCAGGGTTTTGCCCGGAAGGAAATCCCGGCAGCTTCGCTCTAAAAACGGTCCTTGCTTGGCCTTTGGGGAGGCCCTTCCGGATCCAACATCATTTTGGAGTATCTTTCTTCCTGTTCTTTTGTCTTTGCTTCTACCCTCCCTGGAACTAACATGGAAGTGCAAAACCACCTGTTTGTAGTGGACATTGGTCTTCCTTTCGGGGCCATGCCATGCACTTCCATGCGATGTGTTCGTCAGAGTGTATTTGCGGTGGGTGGCCTCCAACCTAATAGATGGCCTCCAACCTACTAGCGGTTGCCAAGTCCATGTTGTTACGATGAGCCGCCCGGAGCACACCCGTTTTTTCTGGCGGAGCTGAGACGTTCACCAGCGAGGTCCGTTCTCCAGCGTGTTCGCGCGGATGACTGGAAAACGGACCTCGCCGGGAAAGAACAGAAGCAATGACTGCCGGCATGGCCGCCAGTCATTCGTCAATGTAAGTGATATCAAACTCATATCAAACTCGTCTAGATGTTTGGCCCTTTTCGAAGGATTTGGAGTAGTTCTGCGAACATGGCTCGTCTGGGGCTTGTGTCCATCCAAAAATCAGGGTCTTTTCACCCAAGCCCTGCCGCCCTGCCGTACTAAGCCAAGCGCTGCCGTACTATGTGTGGCTCCGGCCCGTCCTGAGCGGGACGGATACCGGGCCGTTATCTGCTTCTCATCTGGTCAAAACGGCGTCCTAACATGCTATAACCACTCGGAGTAGTCCTAGCAGGTTTGACCTGGTTAGATTGGCAACAATGGCCACACAAAGAATCGTTCAGTGATCAGCTTTGGGCCCCTATTCAAATCACTTCATCCGGTTGGTAAATGGATGCCAGGGAGCATTCTGGAATTGATGTTGTGAATCAAACAACGCCAAACACAAACTGGAGAACAATGCAAAAACATCCAAAACAAATGCTGGTCTCTGGAGAACCCCGATTCAACCTCAGCTGGCGCTGGCCTTCACAAGCAGCCCGGCACAAAGGTGGCAGAAAAGTCATGTTGACAGTCGATGAATGAAGCACCTAATATGCTCCTCCTGGAATCGTGCAAGTGGACAATGCTATCTTGGGTGACCATGTTCCTCTACAAACATGTGGTTATTCAATTCCATGATCATTCGATAGCAACACCCCCTTTGGTTCAATGCCCCAAGCCACGCATCGCTCCAGCGCTCCTTCACACCCGTTCCGAAGCCATCCTGAAGCCCCGGCCTTTTGGTGCGGGTCTCGCATCTTTCCACGGATGCGCCTCACCAAAAGAGTTCACATCACGTCAGATATAATAGCTGAGTTAGAGAGTGTCTGATCAGACTTGAAGGTAGTTAGACCCTGACAACCACCTGAAAGTGATGGAGAATTCCCCTCAGGCCGCTGCGGAGCTCTTGAAAACCCGATTTGGGATGGACTGGGGAATAATCGAAACCCAGCAGAACCATATAGGGGACGGGTTGCGATCCACCTGGAACCCGACCAGTCTACCATGAGACGCGAGCGACTGTTCCACCAGGTCAAGCAAGGTATCCTTGTGTCATGACTGTGATTCTTAGTTGTTTTTTTTAAATGTGTTATCCCTCCTATGATGCTCTAAGAATTGGCTGGGTGCAGTTATGCTGCTTGGTTTTGGCTTTTCTGAAGCCGCCCACTGGAAATCCACGGCAGGTCTCTGAGAGACCTGCTAAGCCCAGCCTCGAAGCCTCATGATGGCCGCCTGCACTAGCCGACACGAGCAGTCTGGCTATGCCAGTGGAGATGGGACGAGTCAAGTGGAATAAATCAGTGGAACACATCGGAAGAAACATGCAATAGATCGCCTAGGATGCAAAGCAGTTTAACACACATGTGTAACACACACAGCAACTTCCAGCGATCGAAATCACAATACTGACACCCCCAGTTTCCCGGGAATAGTTGAATCAAAGGTGGACCTTCTTCCAACTATTCTTGCTTATTGGGGCAACCAAGTTCCAAGTTAAAGGTATCCATGGTTATGCACTGACTGGGTAGGAATACAACATCGCCAAGAAAAGGCAGCTCAGCTGTTGCATCAGCATGCCACTACCAGTCCATCACCGCTCCACGGAGCCGCTGTTGTCGGCGTCAACAGTGGTGTACCACGGCTAGTGAGCAGCGGCAATTCCCGCGCTGAAGAGGAAGCTAATCACATGTGATGTCCAAACCGGGAGCCCCCAACCTGGCTACCTTGACCTCCCAGGTAGTCAACTCATATTCCGTGGTCAACTAGGGTGCCCCGGTTTTGACCCACAGCCACATGTACACAAGGTGCTACACTCCACGCGCCGTGCACGTTCACGGCTTTTCACACGTGATTTTGTGGAATGTGGGCCACGGGGTCTTGTGACCGCTGCAGGCTACTCTGCTGATCTCTGCTGCCGACACCCACCCACAGGGTGCATGCAGAATCATAGGACGAGATAGGAGATGACATAGGCAAGCTACAACTATGCCAGCTACAGATAGTTGCACACACCTTTGGTTTACTTGTGTGTCTATCAATTGTTGGCCTTGGGCAATTGGGCAGGCTTGACTGGATTCACGTGGGGCGAACTGGAACAAAGAACAACTTCAGTGCATCTGTCACACCCCGTTTAACCAGAACTGGCCCGGCCTGCTGGCCACTTTCGCTTGGCCGCCATGGGCCTCAAAGGATCCGGCTCTCCGTCTCGACGGGAGGGCCATTGATAGTTACATGCCCAACCCAAATTGGGGGGGGAAAGAAGGAAGCATGGCTTCAGAGCCATGAGCGAAAGGGAGCTGATGATCTATGTATCCGTTTTCGGTTCACTTGGTAGTTCAGTCCATGAGGCGGTTGAAGGAGGGGAGGGGGCGATCCAGAACATGTACAAAGTATATAAATAAACGATATTGTGTTATATCATACAGTATATATATGATAATTGAATTTACACATATATGCATCCATTACAAGTGAACAACATAATGTGTCTATATGTAGGCTGTGAATCATCATGAAACTTCACCAATTTGTTGGGGGGATGACTAGACCGTGGACCATGGCCCTTTCTAAGGCTCCTTTTTCGGCCCGCTCGGTGGCTACTCCAGGTGAGTCGGGAGCTGCGCCACCGGCCGTCTCGGAGGTTCAACCAAGGTCTGGTGGGTTGAGAAGTCGGCGCCTGGAAATGGAACGCGTGAATCGCCAGCTCACACACAAGCACCTTTTCCAATTGTGTTTATTTTTTTCTGGGTGTCAAGCGCAACATCATACCACACGGGCTTTTTGAGGTTCATCTTGCATCATGTTGTGCCTTGTAGGTGGGGCAGGCATGTTGCCAAAAAGGCTGTAAAACCCTCCCAAAGTCTGAAATAGCAAGCTGAGTGTCAAACGTGGATTAATTAATAAACCACCCGATATGAAAGTGTTTTTCAATGCAAATTGGGGGGGACTATTGGGGGGTTAATCAAGAGTCTACATTGACCAGGTGCGGGCACCGCCACATCTTCCAACAACCCCTCTGAACCGGACACTCGTGAAGAAGCGTCATGCATCTCGCAGCTGTGCCACCGGGGTGGGGGACCTTCAATGATATGATGCTCCGCTCCATGACAAAGACAGTCAAAAGGAGTCCAGAGTTCAAAGGATTCCGAAGGGTCTTAATTCTGACAATACCACGTCCTTGTCATAAAGTCAGACTCCCATGAAACCCCAAAACGGAGATTCCCTCATTCCCTGCTCGGAGACAGCTACCGCAGCTACAGCGCCAAGTTGAAAGAGGCGCTGCAGGCAAACACGCTAAGCATCAGCGATGGATGAGGCAGGATGGACGTGCCAGGATAGTTCGACTTGAAATCTCCAAGCGAAGGAAGGAACACCAAAAATACCAACTTGACCAGTTTTTAGGATGAAGAACTGCGAAATCCCGGCCCAACCTCCGAACTCCCGGCTCAACCAACTGTGCTGACATAAAAGATCATAAAAGCTTCGAATCGGCTTTCATCGCAGCAGACGACATCAGAACGACCTCGTACTGCGACCCGAGAGGTCGTAGTGCCAGGTTAGGAGTACGCGTCAACCAACAACCATCAGCAGTTCAACGAGTTACATTGCGAGCTTACACCCCTCGCAGAGTCTGCTTGTTCACCAAGACATCCACTTCTGTCTTTGCAGCGAAATCTGAGGGTTTGGATGCCCCCATACCAACAAGGAATGAGAGCCAGCAAAGGTCTTGGCTCTATGCGTCGCCTTAGTATTGATGAATGACCCGTTCTCCCCGAACAAGGTCAATGTTCTCCCATGTTCTCTCCGTATCTAACCCGGCTCAACTGCCACCATCAGTAAGTTAGGCTGATGATGGCATAATAGACCCAAAAATGATCTCGCGCTCCATGGTCCAATGATCTGGCATTTCGGCTCTTGACTTTTTTGCTCGACCTTCCACACCTCCACAAGGGCTGCGCTGGACAATGAAAAGCCGGGCTTTCCGCCCTGCTGCAGTTGGCCAAGAAAGCTAAGCAAAAGCCTGCAGCAGGGGGCAATGAAGCATTGAAAAGGCGCAGGGCGCCAGGGTCAAAAGCAACTGCGGTGGGCCCGGTCTGGCAATGCGAACAGTGGAAGGAGCCCAATCAACACATATGGAAACATACATGTGCTAAGTTAAGCGTATTTCATCGCATGCGAACGCATTGGAAGCTGTTTAGCAGTGTTATGCAGTGTTGTTGGGCTGTTTTCAGTGGTGCTTTCTCAGCTTTGGAAGCTCCCCACACCCCCGTCGCAGGGCTTTGACCAGTCCTCACATGTCCAAGTGACACATGAGGTGTGCTGCACAACACGTGCCCGATCGTTTTCCGGGTGACGAGCCACATCTCAGCGCCGCTGGTCCGTGGTGGGTCTCCGGGCATCATGAAACCCCGTTTTTCCGGGTGTGTAACAGGACTTCTCACGTGCTGATGGGCCGCCTGGTGGGAACTCTATCAAGAACCGACGTACTTTTCAAGGACAGCAGTACCAAGTCAAAAAAAACATGGCAAAAGGCATAGCCACCAGTTCGTTTCTCAAGTCCTGGAATCTGAAGCCTGCACCTTTACATTGCCGCCTCAAAAGCTTTTGCATCTCCGAACGGATCGTGGGTCACGCGTTCGGAGAGGGAACAAAAGCCACGAAGAGCGCGACGCGTTGCACGTTGGCGGGGGGTCTGTACAATTCGAATTACCGACCTCAAGAGTAGAGACCAATGTCATTGGGAGCGCTACTCAGTGAGGCATCTTCCAGCATTTGGCATCTTTTCACCAGGCTGGAGACGGGTTCTTTGGAGCGGAAATTGTGGATCTGGGTTGTTTCCAGCAAACGAGATGTAGGTCCACAAATCATGAGTCCAAGAGCCATGCCCACACGTAAGCCCCACCCAGGCGTCTTTGAGGCTCTTAGTCTTAGTTGGTGCCATTCAGGGGCGGTTATCGCTGGGCGGCCGGGGGGTTCTTTGAAATCCGAAATCCGTAGTAAAGCCACTAACAATACTAAATCATTTGCCCATGCTGCAATGCTGCCTCAATATATAATTGGGCTTGACCAACATAATACTCTAATGTATTCTACTGCCAAGGTTGTATTGATATGTTAATTAGCTGCCTCTCCGGGAAAAAAGCAAACAACTTCTGGTCCTTTCAGCTTTGTGTAGCCCAAGCCCTGCCAATTAACGTATGCTGGATTGTTCATTTCACCTGTCCCTCATCCTACGGTCCTATTGCCAATTCAACCAATCTACATATATGACCTTTTCCCCTCTGCGTTCCCAAACCTTTTGCTCAAGCTGGCTCATTGTTGGCTGATACCTTTGGCAGTTAAAGGGGTGGTTCTAATATTTCGTATGTCTCATATGGCTGTGTCATCTATGTCTCATCTATGTGCCCCAGGACCTTCAAAGTGACCTTTTGAGATCCCAGAATGAGGTCACTTAGTCCCTGAAGAGGCCACTTACAGACTCCAAAGAGGCCACTTTGAAGGTCCTGGTCATTTCCAATCGTTTGTCCTCACAAAAAAAAACCTGTCGTCCCCAGATCCGCGAAACCGCGCTGCTCCGGGAAACCGTCGGTCAAAACTGGGTCGTCCTCGGGCGCCGCAACGGACGAGCGCTCATCTCGCTCATCTCTCTGTCCTCCTCCTCCTGAGCGAAGGGAGCCTTCTGACTCATGGCGAAGGTGCTGGGCTACGTGGTATACGTGGTCTGCCATAAAATATGTTATAGGCATGTGGTACCTCCAGAGTAGATGATACCAAATGCAAAACACAAACTGTCCATGCTTTTCTCTGATGACAATTGATCGTACTTGGCCTTGGACGATCAATCCTCCACCAGCCCAGAGCCTTCTTAGGTTGGTCCCAGCAACTGCTGACCGTTTCGGCGGTCCGTGGTCAGTCCTGGAGGTCCAAGAAGGTGTTCCTCACCACCAGCTGGGCTTCGGGCCTCTTCTGGCCTTCCTGCCTTGGTCTTGGTCGGTCCAAAAGGACCTACAGAAGTTCAGTGACCTTATAGGACCCCACGGGGGGAACTATAGGATAGTCTATAGGGTCCTTCAACCCCTGCTAGGGGGTTTAGCCCTAGCTGAAAACACCCCCCAAAAAAGATCTTTGCATTTTAATGTCCTACAGTAGGGCTCCAACCGGACTCCAACCACATCCTCACAGGTGCTTGGGGGTGGCTGGCAACCGGGGGGGGGGGTCAAATACTGCCTTCTTCCTTGAGGATGTGGGCTCTTCTCTCGCCCACACGCGAGCGATCCGCGATGGACCTTCGTGGCTCTAAGTGGGAACTCCGTGGCTCGAAGGAGTGGAGGCCGAGAGTCGAATGTCTTGGGTTGTTGGAGGGGCCACGGTAAAACGTTGGGCTGCTTGGTCGTTCGGCACTGCCGCGGCTCGGCAGTTGGTCATAGAGAGTCGATCAATATCACGTTCCAGGCGATTGCCAGTAACAATCCCTGCCCTGAAGGGACCTGAAGTGAGTTTCTCAGTGGCACAATCTCATCAAACTCTTGTTGGTCAAAGGCCATGATGGCCTCTCATTCTCTATATGGCTTGGAGATCTGCGGTTTCTGATCTTGGAGTGCGCCAGGGAACATCAAATGAAGCCCAGTTGGCTATCTCCAATCAATCCCTGGTCGACCAGTGTCATTTTTGTACACTACACTACTAAGGACCCACTTGGGTCTCAAATCAAACATGCTGATGCCGGATATGTTTTTTTTCTTTCTCGGAGTCTAAGCTCACCACTATCCAAATCACAAAGCTACTTCGCAGGCGGGGTCCCTAATGTACAAACATGCAGAAATGGGTCACGTGCTGCAAATGCCTTCATTTCAGGCACCTCACCTCCTCGCCAAGATGAACATACAATCTGACCGCGGCCTGGAAGTTGGCAAATGAAATGCAAAATGCACTCTAAGATCCCCTATGAAATTCATATGGGTACTTGGGTAGCTATACAACGGTTCTATAGTGCTATAAAACGATTGCTGGGGAGTACCCAGGTGACCTGATTCTATAGAGGGAATTTTAAGGGGATACTCTAAGTGACATGCACATCAGTTCCAATTTTTAGTGCTTTGATCACACAAAGTACCCCCAACAGCTTCACCACCCAACAGCTGCCACAGACCACCACACGCCGCGCCGATCCACGCACCGCGCA